ACTTAGCCGAACACATTATTCCAAACCCTACTCCTATGAGGATGGACTTCCCAGACGACATACATCGAAGCAATATCCAGCAATTTTGTCCCTTCACCATGGGGGCACACAACCAAGAATTTGTACTAAGGATCACGTCGATAAAGGACGATGAGACGATTTCTCGTGGATGATCAATTTAAAGAAAAGAAAAAAAACATACATCATACTACATTTTCACATGACATTCATAACATCATCATAACATATCATACAATTACATGCCTATACGAAATTCAGATATCCATCGGATGATTTCATAAAAGAAAAACTCAACAAATGCATGCTTTTTCGAATTACAAAGTCTTGGCATTTATTTTGACCAACAGTCATGGCAAGTCATTGCATCACTTCATGCATGGCTACAACAAATATGTAGAAGATGACTGGCGAGCATCAGCAAATCCGCCAACGCTGTCGAGCGTTAAAGAAGTACAGTAGACGATGAATGGCGAGCATCAACAAATCCGCCAACGCTGTCGAGCGTTAAAGAAGTACAGTAGACGATGAATGGCGAGCATCAACAAATCCGCCAATGCTGTCGAGCGTTAAAGAAGTACAGTAGACGATGAATGGCGAGCATCAATAAATCCGCCAACGCTGTCGAGCGTTAAAGAAGTACAGTAGATGATGAATGGCGAGCATCAACAAATCCGCCAACGCTGTCGAGCGTTAAAGAAGTACAGTAGACGATGAATGGCGAGCATCAATAAATCCGCCAACGCTGTCGAGCGTTAAATAAGTACAGTAGATGATGAATGGCGAGCATCAACAAATCCGCCAACGCTGTCGAGCGTTAAAGAAGTACAGTAGAAGATTACTGAAGTGAATCAACAATTCCCCCGACGCTGTCGCGCGTCAAAGAAATACAGTAGCCAAAGATTTGAGCAACAACGCACGGGAGCTGAGGAGCGCCCCAACCATTCAAAACCTCACAGGAGCTGGCGAGCCCCTCTACAAGTCAACAACGCACGGGAGCTGAGGAGCGCCCCAACCATTCAAAACCTCACAGGAGCTGGCGAGCCCCTCTACAAGTCAACAACGCACGGGAGCTGAGGAGCGCCCCAACCATTCAAAACCTCACAGGAGCTGGCGAGCCCCTCTACAAGTCAACAACGCACGGGAGCTGAGGAGCGCCCCAACCATTCAAAACCTCGCAGGAGCTGGCGAGCCCCTCTACAAGTCAACAACGCACGGGAGCTGAGGAGCGCCCCAACCATTCAAAACCTCGCAGGAGCTGGCGAGCCCCTCTACAAGTCAACAACGCACGGGAGCTGAGGAGCGCCCCAACCATTCAAAACCTCGCAGGAGCTGGCGAGCCTCTCTACAAGTCAACAACGCACGGGAGCTGAGGAGCGCCCCAACCATTCAAAACCTCGCAGGAGCTGGCGAGCCTCTCTACAAGTCAACAACGCATGGGAGCTGAGGAGCGCCCCAACCATTCAAAACCTCACAGGAGCTGGCGAGCCCCTCTACAAGTCAACAACGCACGGGAGCTGAGGAGCGCCCCAACCATTCAAAACCTCGCAGGAGCTGGCGAGCCCCTCTACAAGTCAACAACGCACGGGAGCTGAGGAGCGCCCCAACCATTCAAAACCTCGCAGGAGCTGGCGAGCCCCTCTACAAGTCAACAACGCACGGGAGCTGAGGAGCGCCCCAACCATTCAAAACCTCGCAGGAGCTGGCGAGCCTCTCTACAAGTCAACAACGCACGGGAGCTGAGGAGCGCCCCAACCATTCAAAACCTCACAGGAGCTGGCGAGCCCCTCTACAAGTCAACAACGCACGGGAGCTGAGGAGCGCCCCAACCATTCAAAACCTCGCAGGAGCTGGCGAGCACCTCTACAAGTCAACAACGCACGGGAGCTGAGGAGCGCCCCAACCATTCAAAACCTCACAGGAGCTGGCGAGCCCCTCTACAAGTCAACAACGCACGGGAGCTGAGGAGCGCCCCAACCATTCAAAACCTCACAGGAGCTGGCGAGCCCCTCTACAAGTCAACAACGCATGGGAGCTGAGGAGCGCCCCAACCATTCAAAACCTCACAGGAGCTGGCGAGCCCCTCAACAAGTCAACAACGCACGGGAGCTGAGGAGCGCCCCTACCATTTAATACCTCACGGAGCTGAGGAGCACCCCTACCAATCAATACCTCACAGGAGCTGGCGAGCCTCTCTACCAATCAACAACGCACGGGAGCGTCATGATCTGCATTCGTGACGCAAATAACTACAAGCAGTACTCACAACACTCAAGTATCACTTTCTGGATATATGACAAAATCGACATCAGAGTTTACAAAATATGGTGTCTTTATAAGAACTTTGTATAACTCTTTATACAAAGAGATATACAAAGGGGGGCAACTGTAGACACCACATTTTGTCCGGTCTGATATCTATCATAGAAACATCAAACTTATCAAACTTATATACAGTAAACTTGTTTCATGAGGCCAAATCGAGAAGGGACATGGTTTATTCATGGTTTGGGGTTCGTGTTAGAGGATCTATTAAATGTTCGATAATAAAGTCAAGAAGAATATCAATGTCAAATGAGAAGATCGTCACAATTATCAAATGTAATTTCAATTTACACAAACAATCCTCAAATACAAATTGGAAAGAAAAAAACATTTCCTATCTACAAGTGAAGAATCAAGCTTGGTCCACCACTTGAAGGCCCAGACCAGCAAAAGCAACCTGCAAAATTAGAGAAAATCAGTCAAGACAGGCCCAAGCTAGAATTCAAAGTCAACAAGCTCAAGCCCATAAATCAGGCCCGAGAATCAGAGCCCAGTTTGGCCCACTGGATCAAGCCCATTTCGAGCCCAGACGAATACCAGATCGCAAACAACTCTGGCCCATTTCGGCCAACTCGGCCCGAAATCATATGCCATCCCTATCCACACCCTGACTAGTCAGAACCGACCAAGCAAGGTGGAGCTCTCCAACACAGCCACTCAGCAACCGACTTTGCAGGTGGAGGGTTAAGATTCAGCCTTACGATTCGACCAATCAGAAGGAAGCACGCTAGTTTCAGCTACAGCAACGGCAAATGATCATGTGACACATGGCGGATACTTTTGCTATTAAATGAGCTCGTTGGGCTCTCTGTTGAGGGGGGACGAAGGAGAAAAAGAGAGTGATACAGAAAATTCTGAAAACACTAATCTTTTCATTACAACAACAAACGGAGCCCAGATCTGAAGGGTGGAGCACAAGGAAGTGTTCTTGGAGCAGAAATCACAATAAGGTTGGAACTTTTGACTCTGCTTTAATGTTGATAGATAGCATTTCATCTCGTTTCATCCAGTCTTGATCATTATACAGTTATAATATCCATCAACTTGTATTGAAGCAATTTAATTTACAAACCCTTCTGCATTGAAGCACTCTTTACGTTCAAAAACTGTATTTACTTGTCTTAAGCATTCATAGCAATAGCAATTCCAATTCGGCATTAAGCTTCTTTCAATTGAGCATTTATTTACTTCTCTTATAAATTCATAGACTATTTTAAAGTTATGTTATGCTTTCCATTTCCTTGCAAGCAAATAGCTAGCCAATAGTCGATTATCATATGCATGACAAAATATGGGAATAGAGTTCAAATAGACAGAGGTCTTTAGAAACAAGCAAAAACCACTTATTAGAAGTCCACGGGGGCAATCCAGATCTAGACACAACAAAAACTCCCTAAATATGATAAAATTTCAGATTTCAAACCGTTGCAAAATCAAAAGCCGAGGCAGTGATTTGTAATTATAATTACCAAAAATACCAATTTTAGAGCATGTTAATTACTTTCCCATTACAGGAAATTATTTTCTTAGCAAATTCTAGCATGTCATGAGTTCCTTCTAAAACCACCCACCAAACCACCAAGCATAAAAAAATTCGAGATCATCAAACACATAACATATATAAAATCACAGATCTATAAACCGATTTCAAACTCGCAATTTATCATTTTTTTTAGTTCAAGTTCCATAATCACTTTAACCCGAGTTCAGGACGTCCTTACCCAAATCTGTCCACTCCCAAAACCTACCAAAGAGCAGAAAAGTAGAAATCAGAACCTCAAATAAAAAAAAAAAACAAAATAGCAAAAGGGATTAAACCACAAAAAAACCTACTTAGGTTTAACCCTCGCTGCCGGCTCTGGCGCAGGCCGCGCCGCCGGCCACCGCCGCCTCTCCCTTCCTTCTCTCGGCAGAGATCCGAAACATAGACAATAAAAAAAACACCAAAGCTCAAACAGGTTAAATCTCTATCTAATGCATAAATCGAATTGAAAAGAACATGCATGTAGAAAAATCTTACCAGAGGGTAAGAGTCACCCCTCGTCGCCTTCGTTTTGGTGAGGAAGGTCGGGTTGAGATACTAGGCGAACAGGCGAGAGTCCCGCCTCGGTTCGAGTCGATTTCCGAAAAAAAAAGAAGAGGAAAACGAAAGAAAATTAGCCGAATCCCAATAAAAATCACCTAAAAACAAATCGAAAAGAACATGCATGTCTAGGATCTTACCTAGATCGAAACCTTGTAGGTTGATTTAGCTCGATACGAGCGGTCTCCTTGGCTAGGGGTGTGCAACGGTTCGGTTCGGTTCGGACCGGACCAAACTCATGAGAACCGCGGTCCATTAGTGAAAGACATGTTAGGACCAAGGACCGGACCATTCTTTCATTTGGTCCATTTGGTCCGGTTCGATCCGGTCCAAATATGAGCTCGGTCCATCATTTCTTCAGTAATTATAAAATTCATGAGGACCAAGGACCGGACCGCATTTTACTCGGTCTGGTTCGATCCGGTCTTAACATCGGTTTGGTCCAGTGTGGTCCGGTACGGACCGGACCATTGCACACCCCTATCCTTGGCTAGCCGAGAGGAGAGGACGGCGGCGTAGAGGAGAGGGTTAGTGATTCGTTTTTCTGGAAATAGAAGAGGAAGTGTATTGTTTTTTTCTTTCTTCTCGTCTCAGAGGAGGCGGAGAGAAGAGGAGAGAAGGATCGGGATAAAAGCGAGAGTGAGAGGAGAGAGGGGAGAAGAGAGATGGCGGCGATTGTGGGATGAGAAACCAGAGGGTTTCTGGGTTGGGGAAGCAAAAACGAGTGAGAGAGGCAAGAGAGTAGGCTAGCGGCGGTCAAACTAGAGAAGATTAGGGTTTCCTTTCTCGTTTAAGACATTTATATATGTTTCCAAATGTCCAAATTGCCCCTAGGGTTTCGCTGATATTACACGCCCATGCCACCGCGTTTTTGTCCATTTACCAAAATACCCTTCCCCTATCCCTGCAATATGAAAAACAGAACACCGAACTCAGAGTCGACCGAGATTCGAACTCGGGTCTCACGGCATATCCGCATATGTGTCCGACGCCTTAACCGGTTGGGCTGCTGGGCCCTTATGCGAAAGTGTAATCATCTCATTCATATTTATTCGTTCTAAAATTCTTAATACGAAATGTTGAATGCGGATTAAGTTTATCTCGTTTCTTTTCCCCTTAGCGTCTTAATACTTCCTAGTAACTTAAATTCTTATATTCTCTTTTCATAATAATTAGTTTAAATTTTATTAACGAAAATTATAATACGAGAATTACGTTCAGTGGAACGTGGTATAAATTATATTCAAAATTATCAAAGTCATACAAACGAACTACGTGGACTTTGATCCCGTATTACGGGTACGTAGGCAACCGATAAGGTTCGAGTCCAACTAACCAACTAACTTCATATTTAAATTTACGTCAGTGGACGTATAATTAAATTTCAACTAATACGATAAAATCATTAAATGGTCCAGTGGGACCTAAAATTACAAAATATTACTAAAAACACACCCAACTCATATAAACTTATCAAACTTAAGTAGTACCGATTTAGGGCGTTGTGGGGGTGTTGCCTAACTTCCCCACACGTAACCGTACTCCCGAACCCAAAACTTTATTTTCACAGACCAAGTCTCGGTTCTGATCCTAAGGTTAGAGCCGACTGATGAGTGTTCGATCCACTCCAAGTAAGATCGATGGCGACTCCCAAAAATGCCGACGCGACGACATACGGACCCCCCGAGGGGACGGTTGCGACAGTTGGCGACTCCGCTGGGGACTTCGAGAGTCGAGCTACATTTATCAAGTCGATAAGTTTGCTTACTTCCTATTATGTGTTGGGTGTTTACTTTATTATTTGCGCAATTATATTTTCGCAATTAAATTCTGTATTCATGCATAAAAGCTCTATACCCGAGCTATCCTTTTAGAAAATTGAAAGGAGTACCGTGACATCCACAGTAGTGGTAGTCACGCAAAACTTTCTAACCAAGTTGAACTCGGATCCGAGGTTGATCTCGAGGTATCCAGCCAGTTCGAAAGGGCTATGGTAGGATACAACTTGGGAACCAAATCCTTAGGAATTCCGCTGCCAGCATATAGTAAGCATAGAAACCTCCCTAAGCCGTCCAAAACAATCCCCAAAGCCATCCTAAAACCATGTCGTTACGCCGCTCGAAATCCCTAGGCCTACCTAAATAGGGTAATGATGCAATGATATATGTTTGCTTATTTAAATGTATGTTTGTTTGTGATGTTATGATATGTGTTTTATCTTTCACTCGTTAAACTGTGTGATTGTATGAATGAAAAACGTTTTCAAAATTCATAAGCATCATTCTCTCATAAGATTTTCATTCACCCATTCACAATTTTATCATAAGAAGATTAAAAATGCATGCATTGAGATTAAAAATGAATTTGCATTCATACATCATTGCATTTTTGCATAAGCATCATCCATAATTATAAAGAACAAAATTAATTTAACAATTTTGAGACAAAACCAGGTTTCCTTAAAATTGATCGTCCACAAGGAAAAAGTCAAGACTTCAAGTACTTAACTAGATCCAAGTTCGAGTTCGTCATGGAAGCATTCCAGAAGAAGTTAAGTGACATTGAAGGAAAGATAACCGGATTCGATGAAAAGCTAGCCGGGTTCGATGAAATGAAGGATCAGCTGAACATGATAGTAAAGATCTTATCAGCTAAAGGAAAAGAGGTAGTACCTGACGATGAAGAAATACACTCTGACGAAGAAGATCGTGATAGGCACCTGAAGGGTGAAGCTCCCAGTGCCAAGATCCTCGTCATGCCCTCAAAAGACGTACATGACAAGAAAAACGTAGGATCTCCCAAATATGATCGAGAAGAAGAAAAATTGGGAGGATCCGTGGACGACATGCAATTAAAAGAGAAATGGGAATACCTGGACGAAAGGGTGAGAGCCATTGAAGGGGTAGAATCCTATGGTTCTACTGATGCCACACAGTTATGCCTAGTGCCAGACGTGATAATTCCCCATAAATTTAAAATGCCTGAGTTTGAGAAGTATGATGGTACCACGTGCCCCAGAAACCATCTGATCACGTATTGCAACAAAATGGCTAACCACGTCCGAGATGACAAGCTCATGATACATTGTTTTCAAAATAGTTTGAGTGGGCCAGCTGCAAGGTGGTACATGCAACTTGAAAGATCGAAGGTGAAAAGATGGCAGGATCTTGCCGATGCATTCATGAAACACTACAAGCACAATCAAGATTTAGCCCCGGATAGAGAAGATTTACGCACCATGGAAAAACAAGAGAAGGAATCCTTTCGTAAGTATGCACAAAGGTGGCGAGGAAAGGCTGCAGATGTTCAACCCCCCTTGTCAGAAAAAGAAATGGTTTCGACCTTCTTCGAAACACTGAAGCCTCCATATTACAACAACATGGTAGGGATCACCACAACAAATTTTGCAGATTTGTTAGTAGTTGGAGAGAGAATAGAGAAAGGGATTAAGCAAGGTAGGATGGAGAATTCAGAAACCTCAAAGAAAGCTAGTCCGTCTCGAAAGGGAGAGGGAGACGTACATTCGACTGAAGATGATTCTTCAAAAGAGAGACGTTGGAATTACCAACCTCGAGGCAATCAAAATTCATCGATCATCCCACAACCAAATTTTGTCAATCGTCAGGCAGTACAGACATCACCACCTGCAACCCCGCGAGCGAATAATCATGACTCAAACAATAATGGGAGATACAAAAAAGACATCCAAATCGATCCTATCCCCATCACGTATACCGATTTGTTCCCCCAGTTGCTCCATGATCAGTTAATTTCCCCTATACCATGTCGTCCAATGCAGCCTCCATACCCAAGATGGTACAAACCAGATGAACATTGTGATTACCACTCAGGAGCGGCAGGACACTCAACCGAGAATTGCAAATGGTTAAAAAACAGGGTCCAACAAATGATAGAAGCCGGATGGCTGAAATTTGAGGAAAGGCCAAACACTCCAGACATCAACAACAACCCTCTACCCAGTCACAACAGTTAGTATGCATGCCATTTAGCAATGCTCGATTCAAGGATCATGTGGATCTTTGAGAACAAATAAATATCGAGATAGTTTCTCATGTTTAAGATGTACTACCTTTTGCTTTTATCATATGGAATAAGAGATCACCCATATGTCCAACTACTTCGGACATTTTGTGATAATTATCAATCTCGATTTTGGATTTTGCATCAATAGCCTGTATCTTCCCAAATAATGAATGTCTCTTTCAAATATTTCAACTTGATTTCCATAAAACAAAAAATTCATAAATCCATCACATGTTTTCAAGTTCAGCCATGAGATTACCATAATAAGCAATTATGAGCACCCCACTGGTGTTGAGAGTTTGAACACCCCACTGGTGTCGAGCGGTTATAAACACCCTAATGGTGTCAATATTTTGAGCACCCCACTAGCGTTGAGAGTGTGCACACTTCTCTAGATTCGAGAGTATAAACACCCCATTGGTGTCCATAAAAATCATGTGAGCTAATAGTCAACGGGTGAAACGAGGATACGACACTAGGCTATTTGTAGAATCTTGTCACTAACACGATATGCCTTTTCTATCAAATTGATACCCAACTAGGCCCAAAATCAAGCAACAGATTCATGATACGCAGGAAATAACCACTCGCAGCAACTCAAGGTCTATCTACCAGCCTCGACCAACAACGAGTAGAACCTCAAGCAAGAGCTTACATGATAAGAAACCTTTATAGTCACCGCCACTTCACACAAAAACCTCCTCGGCATGTCACTTTGGGACCAATCGAAAATGCATTTGCTCCCTATTCGACCTTGTCTTTTAAAAAGCAAAATTTCAAAAGAAAGGGGTAACACGAGCCAAAAAACACACTCCCCAAAGATGACCAATATTCACCACTATTTTCGAGTAGAAGAGACCATCTCACTCAAAAGAACCTACAAACTCGACAACGATCTCCTATACATCAGTTAAATCTCAGACTTTGGGGGGCAAGCCAAAATCCCTCATCAAAAAGCTTCATATGACTAGAACATATTCACTACGAGTTTCTACTATCTCGTCACTCAAACTCACATCTTGAGGAAAACCGAATCCCGGGTCAAGAAGATCCTCACGATTAAAGTCAGGTTCAACCAAAACCTCCTTCAGGGAAATATTACATACATCCACTACAAGACCATATGAAGATCGCCAAAACCAATCACGCGAAACTTTCCTGTGGTGAGAAAACCTAAACCTCGAGCTCATTTGAACGCCAACGGAAGGAGACACCTCATAGTGACAAGAATCTTAATGGTAACTGAAATGTCGTAAACTCGAAGCACCCATAGGAATGAGTGAGAGCGAAAAGTTGAGTGAGAGTGAAACTGAGGGCTTATTGGTACTCTCATGGCTTGATTGTACTAAAATGGTTCTACACAATTTGCACACACTTCTCTCAAACAAGTTTTGAGATCTCGAATGAGTTTCCATTATTCACAAAAGGTTTTGGACATTTTTGCATTCATCCGTAGTCGAGGTTGATAAGAATCACTCTTTGTTTCTGAAGTATTGGAAAAGAGTGTAGATCTTTGGGGGGGCAAGAATAGCGCATCCTGGAAGAGTGGACTTGCAAAGTACTCAATACTCAGATTTCCAAAGAATAGGTAGACGAAGACATATCAAAGATTTCAAAGCACTCATGATTCATTAAGTCCAATCGAATGAGTCAATCTACCCTTCAACGACTCGACCAGAAGGAAAAACTCGATATATCATGAATACTTCGAGCCACGAACTG